ATCTTTCACTACGCGTTTATCACGGTTCTTGGGATCTCCGTCAAACCAGACGGAGTAATTTACTGGTATCCAATCATCGTCGTCGGATTCAGACCAAGACATCTCTTTCTCTCTCTCGAAACCCTAGTCGTTTTTCCCTTTTTTTTCTTTTTTTCTTTTTTTTTTTTTTTTAATCGATGATTTTCACTTTTCCTTGGTTTCTTAAAGTAGGGTATTTGGCATTTTGTACCATCAAAATACAGATCTTTTGCACTTTGCACCCACCCACCATTGAAATGGGCTGGATTTTGATAATTGATTATTTACTTTCTGGATTTCTTTCTTTTAAATTTAATCGTGAATTACAGCCTCCTCTGAAACTTTTTGATTATATGAAATATTATTATTTTTAAATTTAATCGTGAATTACATCAGAAACTGCATTTTTATACAAAATGAGTACAAACTAAAGCACATTCCACGAAATCTAGATGATTATATCGAATTTGAGACCATAAAGATGAAGGTGTAAAAAGATTCATAGTTAAGAGAGTAGATGTAATTATCCAAGTAAGAGGGGGTTTTTATAATTTGACCATTCCTCAGGGGTAGTTGTAATTTACCCTAAATTTAATAATCAGCCGTGAGTTCACATTTTTCATAAACAATTTCCTCCTTTAGTTAGTTTTAATAATCATACTGAACTTGTATTTAATTAAATAGTTGGTTCCTTGTGGGCACTATGAGAATTTTAACTCCAATGAAGGTTGGTTCCTTATGGGCACTAGGTCCGAGTTCGCTACCTTAACGGGCCGTTGAATTATCATGATTTACATTCATCCATCAAACACTTGTCAGACACATTATATAATTCAAATTGAATTTGCAAGATTCCTTTTCGGATTAGGCCAGATTATATTAGATTGAATTTAATTTCCTACCGGTCAACTAATTAATTAATTAATAGGAGTGCTAATAATTTCATGATGTAATGTCACTTAATTACGGGTTTCCACTTTAGTTGCGGACTTAACTTGAGTAATGTTGAATCTTATCAACTAAACATTTTACCAAATCCTACTATTTAATCAATCTAACCTAATAACAGCAAGCAAGCAAACGAGGCCTAACAATATTAATATTTGTTTACAAATTTGGAGATCCGACTTTGCAAAGTTGATCCCTTATCCAGTAGCAGTCTAGTCTGGCTCCGTTGTCCAGCATGACTCGATTGAAGCCACTCGATAAAAAAGTTTGACACGTGCTATGAAAAAACCCGGAGTGATGGTGTTATCTTTTTCTCGTAATTATTAACCTTAATCGACACTTCAGAAGTAATGGAGAGAGTAGTAACTATTTATGTGGAAGAAAAGGCTAGGAATTGATAGGCCCCAAAGAGGTCCAAATACGAATAACTATGCACAAAAGCCCATCATGAGTAATAATCCACATAAATACTCGAAAAGCCACGAAATGTATGTAATGTATATGGACCTATCTTTGAGAGACTTTGAATAAATCAACTCAACCACATAAGATTCGAAACCGGTCATACTCGACTCAAATAATCGAGATGTGAAAAAATCGATTGAATTGAGCAATCCGGTCTTCAGTAAGATACTACATGTAAAATACCTACAACTTGTCTCCTTTTCCTGCTATTTATTGGCAATCAGACTACACAATGAATAAACTACGAGTACCACTACCATTGTTCAGCTCAGTAAAAAGGAACACCGTCACATTTTTCGAATATCTAAAATTAATACTTTGGTGGACGGGGCTGAAAGTTAAGATATCATCATCCATAAAATTACAAGACACATAATTTGCTGATATCATGCCTCGACTCTTGAATTGGGGGGGATTTTCGATTTATATTTTCTTCTTTTGTCAATTGGATGACATCTGAATGTTCATACATATGATAGGAAAGCCAAATCAATATATATAACTCCGGAAAAATGTTCGAGCGACACAGGAAAACCAACACGAACCAAATAATACAAATGCAGTAGGTATAAACAAATCAAATCAGAGCAAATCTGTATCGAATTTGGCCATCAAAACCAAGAAATCAAAGAATGGTTACAACACCGCACCTTTTCTTTCCCTTTTCTAACACGTCTACAATGGCGTTTCTGAAATTTTTCGTTATGCGTAACTAAACCTATACGTTCATTGAACTAATCACAAAGCCACAGGGATATTTGATCAAAATCAATCAAACCAATGAAACAGTCACTTAGCCAAGTGCACAAACACACCATACTCCAATTATCACATTAATACAGAATTACACACTACAATATCCAAAACCCCCAACCCCAAATAAAAATTCAAAAAAAAAAAAAAAAAGGCAGCACATACATCAATCAGCCATATACAGAATCAGAATACTCAGAAAAAGCTAAAATTTGCACATCAAAACTGACAATTTTCATTAAAAGGTATAAATTAAGAGAAAAAAAACGGAGATAAGAGAAGCTAATCGTTCAAACGTTTACCAAATTATTTGCGGCTATCATAATCAAGGATCTCGTTGTCGGTGACAGACCTGGAGTGCTGAACAATGGATCGCCCAATCGAATTAATCCAGTCCTCCTTCTCCTTCTCCGAATCGGCGATGAAGTACATCGTCTCGTTTCGAGTCGACAATTCGAAGGCGAATTCACGATTGATCCTATCCTCGGCGCCCTTGACGGTAAGGCAATTAGCCACCGGGATCACGCCACGCGGCCGGGAGGCGCGTGTGACGGCCGATTCCTTGAACCAGAAGACCTTACCCTGCTTCAGGACGAACCAGCGGCGGCGCCAGGTTTTGATGTACTCGCCTTGCTTGGTGAGCCAGCCGGAGCGCTCAGGCGTTCCCCAGAACTCGACTCCGTCGTAGTCGTCGGCGTTGGCTTGAGTGGAGCCCATCGCCGCCCGCCATAGGCTCGCCATGTGTTGGTGAGCTTTGGTGATCGAGATCGATGAGAGAGAGATACGAGGTGAAGACGATAAGAGACCTGTGAAAGGGAAAAGCACAGAGAAAGAGAGAGAGAGAGATTCTATTATAATTTATTGGATCTATTATTGGTTGTAAAATCCGATGGAGTAATTAATTATTTACCACACCACTTTTCTTTTACCTTTCAATTTCACAATTAAAATCTCCTTTGGGCTTTGACACAACGACCCTCTACCCACACGTTCGCCATTATGGTGTCAAATTTAGTGAATTTTTTTAGATTAGATTATGCGGAATATTCTCCAGTTTCTACCCGTTTTATCTCATTCGATCTTCACATTTTGAAACATAATGATCGTAAAATGTGTCTCTTGTCTTGTAAAAATCAGATTGTGATGCATCAGAAACTGCATTTTTGCACACGCGGAATCTAGAATATTCTGTTGAATTTAACACCATAAGAATGAACGCGTAAAACGATTCATAGTTGATGGATGATTGTAATTGGAACTTATCTTGGGATTGACTCTAATTTGCCCCAATATGTTTGGTCAAAAGTTTTGACCAAACATATTAAATAACAGCCTTTGACTCAGAACTAACACCTTTTTTATCATTGAAAATGGGCTCCATCCAGATTAAATAACAGCCCATCCAAATTAGTTAACAGCCCATCCAGATTAAATAGGCCAAGAGAACTAATTATTTTTTCTCCTTCAATTTATTTATTTATTATTCAGTTCTCCCAATAAATAAATAAAAAATATGTATATTATTATTTATTCAGTTTGAAAAGGACGCAAATCTTTCACTGCACTATCACAAACCATTGGTAAAGTTGAGCAAGACCAACAGCCAATACGATGTCGTCTACTTTCACAGACTCGTTCGATCAGTTGGAGGGGGACTCGCCGGCGGCCGTTAAGACTCGCTCGTTCGACGACGGTTATTTTGCTTCTGAGTCGTTTTCCAATTTTGATTCTACTGTCGACGATTCTGTTCCGCCGATCTACGTCTCCGGCGAAGATTTCCCCTCCGATCCGGCGGATTTCTCGTCGGTTACTAATGATAACGGCCCGTTTCTTCCGCCGCCGTCGGAGATGGAACCCGAGGAGGGTTATGCGCTCCGAGAATGGAGAAGGTATAGTTTGTATCGCTTTTGGATTTTCCTGATTAATAATTTATTAGTTGATGTTTCACTTTATTTTTTCGCTGCGTCTGTTCTTCGTTGTGTTTTGTTTCTTTTATTTGGAGTAGTTTGTGTTGAATTTGAAGTTTTTCTGATTGGTTCGTTGTAATTCAGTATCTATTAAATACAATTAGGTTTCTAAATGAGTTCAAATTAGGTCATTTTGTTCAATCGGAGTAGAATTTAGGGGTTATTAGATGAGTGTGTCAGGGTGAACGTTCATAATTGGGAAGTGATATAAAATGGACTTCGTAATTGGGAAGTGATATAAAATGGACGAAAAGGGATTGGATTTTTGCACCCGATTCTTTCGTGCAGAAAGTAGGGATGTCGAAAAGAAAAAACGTAACGAATAAAATTTCTAGGGTTCGAGAGAAGAAATGGAAGGATACCCTCTCAACCTTGAACCTTCTAGAAACAGATGTTATGAGAAACCACTTTGAATTCTGATAAAATTTAATGACATCACTAATTCATTAGGCTAACATTGGGCGCATCTTGGAATCGAAAACCTCATGCTATTGTAGTAAAGATAAGAACATAATTTTAATATATAACACTGGATTGGGTTGTAACAAAGGGGGTCCGTCTACAACGTTAATGCATATTGTTTGTGAGAATCTTTCCAATGAAATCTTTGGTGGGTCTGATTGCTGCTGATCCTTTCGTTTTAATATCTTAGTATCTAAATAAATTACCTGTTTACATTCATAAAATACCTATTGTGCTTTTCTTGGTGTCTTTGTTTCCTTTCAATTTAACTCAAAAGTATTTCATATGAATGTATGACGAATTGTAAAGTACATTTTATCGACACCCGAAGACTAAGTTTGACATTTGAACTTTTTTTTTTGGTTGACAGACGGAATGCAATTCGGATAGAGGAGAAGGAGAAGAGAGAGAAAGAACTGTTGAGCCAAATCCTTATTGAAGCTGATGAGTACAAAGTTGAATATCACAGAAAGAGTCAAATCGCTTGTGAAACCAACATAGCTACCAACCGGGAAAGGGAGAAGGTTCGAATACTAATTTTTCCAATCATTGAAGCATTTAACATTGATAGGCTCCAGTTTGGGACCTTTTGCAATTAGCATAAACTTGAAATGTAGAATGTTAACACATGATTGACGTTGTTAACGGTTGAAAATTTATCGGTTTTAATGATTTGGGTACGATCTTTATTTTTATCAGGTATTTGTTGCTGGACACGAGAAGTTCCATGCTGAAGCTGACAAGGATTACTGGAAATCGATAGCAGACCTAATTCCTAAAGAAGTCCCTGTACTAGAGAAGAGAAAAGGTAAGAAAGACCAGGAGAAGAAAGCTTCTGTAGTTGCGGTTCAAGGGCCTAAACCTGGAAAACCGACTGATTTAGCCAGGATGAGAAATGTACTCATTCGGCTAAAGTCTAACACCCCACCCCACCTCAAGTTTTCTCCTCCGCCAGCGGCACCAGATGCTAAAGCTGATGCGCCAAAGTCTCCCAATGTGGTAGTCTCTGCCGAAGCTGTAGCTGTTGCGTAATATGGGTTGCTTTTATTTTTATTTTATATTTTATATGTAATAGAGATGTGTAAACGTGGTACAATTAGACTTAAAAACGAGATTATGTTATTTAATTTCGGATGGCAGTTTTAGTTTTAAACGCGCTTTGAAATGTGTTACATCTTTAGTGTTAATCACTACTAAATTGAAGAGACTTAACGGGTGTGTGCTATTTGCGTCTATCTGCTAGCTAGATTTTTCGAAAATGCATGTTTTAGTAATTTGTTTCTTCGGATGTGTAGTATCTATTACCCATGGATTAGATAGGATATGGTTACAGGAGCTTCTTCGTAAGTTCTCGGAGCTGCATATATATTAATCAAATAAAAACTTGGTAGTGAAAGAAAGACTATACATGTTGTTGGTGGTCCAAAGTGATGGAAAGAGTTGTCACCTCTTCCAGTTCCAGCCAAGACGGAATTAGTTTACGACACTGTCTGTCCGGTAACAAAAAAGCCACAAATTAGATCGAGGCGAATATATGTGGAGATAACGTGGTCCAATTTATGGATGCATTTTTAGCATCATTGCTTAAAACAGATAATGCATCTGAAATGTTTTTAAACTGCACAAGGACCATAACAAGTTTCGTGTAATTATTGTTCCGGCCCTCGAACTATAAAAGAAATGGTGATTTGAACCCCAATGTAACTTGGTCAGCCGCTTCCGTTAGTTTTTTCATCCAAAAGAATATTGTTTAAAAAGGTCCACCTTTGGCCTCATTGATCAATTTAGTGCATTCTACGCTATTTCCCTTTGATCTTTTTCATCTTTGTATTTGTTTGCCTTCCTTCTAAGCGTGGGATAAAATCTTACCTGAAAGAAACACCACTCAAATAACATTTCAAGTTACGTTATGTATTCATCTATTTTTTTTTTCAGTTCAAATTCGACTTAATGATTAGCAAGAATTGTAAATCACTCTTTCTAAAATAATGAAGGTGACATTCAACTCAACACACCACCAGGATTCGAGGGAATTTGGAATTGATATGATGTACGAAATTTGGTCAAGTTTGAATATTCGAATTAGCTTAAACAAATTAGAAGTATCTCTATATCTGAATTCCACAATAGAAGGGTGATGGTACATTCCATTGCCAAACAAACAACAAAGGCTAGAATACAGTGCACAGCACATATAACAGGTTTTGCTAATGTGAGATACAATACATCAAATGGCATACTAACCATGCATAGAAATTTACATTAAACAATTCTCTCTTTCTTCTCCGGAGAACAGTCAAATCAGTCGTTACTCTTGCCGCCACTAGAATACTTGTCCACAATTTAGAAAGTGATGGGTAGAACAGTAAATACGTACGAGGTAGTAATAGTAGTAGTAGTAGTGTGAACAAAATACCATCACCTGCCACGTAAGCTGGCCGGAGATCGTATACCCTTGTCACTGCTGACATCATCATCGATTTCATGCCCATCCATGCAAAGTGCATTGTTGTTCACACTCACTTCAGAACTCGCATTACTACTCGTTGCAAGCGGAGAATCAGAAACACTCACTGTTCTTCTGGGCGGCCCAGATCTCACACTATACATGGATGATGCAGGTATATTAGTCATCAAAGGCCTTAGATTGCCCGGAATAGTTCGCCTTATATCCTGCACACAGTCCAAAACAGAAAAGTTCTTTAACTAACTAAGCACACCCTTTTTAGAAATATTGAAGAATCGGACAAGATTATTGACATACCATATGCCTGATAGCCATATCTAAGGATTTCTTCGAAAGGGTTCTCCCAAAGCCTGAGCTGTCGGGCGAAGAGGACTTTCCGGATAAGTTGCTGTGAGGGGAATGCTTATCGTCTTGCTTGGGTGGGGCTAGTTTCCTCATATTCATCACCCTATCAACCATTTTAGTTCCTAAGAGAACGGGGCTCACATTGTCATTCGCCTTAGCATGAAACCGATTCACAGCAGGCACAGGGACAGAGCTTCCACTGTTATGAGTCATGCCGTTAGGGGGCCGCCCCCTACTCGGAGAACACGATTGTCTTCTGATCCTTGGGTTAGAACCAGGCTCAATAGACGAAGAACGAGAACTTGGTGCTCCAGGTCTACCTCTAGTAGCTGAAGGCGGCCTGTCAGACATGGATGTTCTTAAATTGGGCGGAACATCGAGGGAGAATCCAGGCATTTCCGAGGGCTTCCATGGTCTGGGCCTAACTGATGGAGAATTAGACCTCGTTGGAGGAGGATTCTGATTCTGATTCGGATTCTTTGCTGCAGATGGAACTGGCTTGGCTAGTGAAGAGGACTTTGGGGACTTGTTAACCGAGAGAGAAGGTAAGCTTGTTGAAGTGGACAGCATTGCGGGCCTACGAGTTGGAGTTGAGGCCCGAGACACAGATTTTGATGTGGGCAGGGATGGTCTGCTAGTTGGTGTTGAGGAACGTGGTGCGGTGGACCTTGATGTAGGAGTGGAAGATCTTGTGGGGGCTGCGGGCTTAGCTGAAGATAATGTGGGGCGAGAATTGGTGGGTGTGGAAGATCTTGAAGGTTTTGACGTTGTTGATGGTGTTACTCGAGATGATGCTGTGTTTGAAGTGGTTTTAGCTGCTGATGCTGCTGATGAGGACGACAGCGAGGGCTTACTTGATGATGAGGACAAAGTGGGTCTAGATGATGAGCTAACGGTTGGTCGTCCAGTTGGTGTTGCTGGTCTTGATCCGGGACCACCGGAAGAAGATGGCCTGCGGAGTCCACCAGTTGAAGTGTTCAAACCAGGAGATAGAGTTGATTGCCTGGACGATAAATTGCTCCTTGCAGCAGGCTCGAGCTGGGGATTGGCCAGCTTCAACCACAGTCAATTTTGCAGGGAAAGTTAGTTAAAAATAATTTTGCAGATAATTAGAAATGCATGCTCTCGTTATGTGTAAAGTAGAATAGGCTCACAGGTTGACGCAGAAATATAACTTGAGTGGCATGCTATTTCTATATCTAGTACGAATTGTCTAGCAGAAATGACAATACTAAAAGTCAAGAATCAAATCGAGAATACTAAAAGTCAAGAAACAAATCCTATGTTTCAAGAATCATCAGAATAAGTATGAAATTCTTGTGCATCACTTAAAAACAGAAATTTTCCAAACTCGGATGGTAATGCATTAAATTTACTTATGCCCTAGGCAATTATTGGACTTTCAATTAGTCAAAGGTCCTATAGAGTAAAATGTACTACAAAATAGTAAACCAATTTTCAACTTACTCTAGATTTCAAAGTTGTGGGGCGAGCTTTTGGAGTTCCCATCTGGCTCATGACAGTTTTATGTGATTCCATTTCCAGTGAAGGAAAAAGAGGAGTGCCAGGGGGAGTTAAAAGCCTGAAAACAAACAAAAATACATGAGATTCTAAAGATAGATAGAGATGGAATGGTCAGCTGTGAAGTCGGAGAACCACATTTTCAATTAGATAACCATAAAACTTGAAATGAAAATGAAAAAAGAGAAAAAAAAAAAACCAAGTCTGAGACCTAACATGTATCTGAGAGCAGCACAATACAAATTTGATATAATCATACAATTGAATTCTATTCTGAAACAATAGTCCAATGCAAAATCATCTCTAATACGCCAGCAGAGAATACAAAGGGCAAGTTGCCTCTTTGGACAGCATATTGAAATTGAAAATATCGGGTTATGTTAACAACCATAAGCCAGACTGTCCAATCGTGTGCGAGTATGTCCTAGTGACATAAGGAATTTGAGGAGCCGGCAAACAAACAACTCCCACAAAACCATGCATAAAAACATAAGTGCACTATAACTGACATCTACAGAAGGCTACTTATTTATAATGTTCGTCCGGTCAAATGCAATACATTAGTTTTTCATTATCACAGTAGAGAAAATGAGCATTCCGTGAGATTGAACACAAGAAGACTTCAAATAAAATTTTCAAGTTAATTTTCATAAGTAGTTCAAAAAGCTTTCCTTCATAGGAACGAACGTGCCAACTGAAATAATCAAAGACAATAAACGAAGTTTAAGAACGAACGACAATTACCAATCATAATCATTTTTATCGTTGTCAGAATTGAGAAACTCGTCAGTACCCGTCTTGCGGGCAGGAGCGGGTGTACCTGCGGTTATATTAAATATTGGAGAACTACCAGTTCTTTGTCCTGCAAAGGGGAAAAAATTACTTATATTAGAAAACCATAAATCAAACAGATTACTTCAATTCTTTTTTAAAGCCAACAGCACATCATACTAAGTCAACAAGTCACAATATTCAAAAATAAATCTACCAAATAGATTCACTACAATTAATTAATAATCTAATGAAAAAACCACTGAACATTCGTTAATTCACAACAAAACCACCGACGACAACACGCAGATTTTTTCACAAAATAAATTTGAAAAAAAAAAAAAAAAATCTTACCAAGTGGAGCATCAAATTCGTCGGAGGTTTGAAGAAGAAGAAGATTGTTCCGTTCTTTTTCACGCTTCCTCATTTCCCTAAATAATGCCAAATCCTCGTCTTTGTTATCCTTGAATCTCAGACTCCCCATTTGCCCCCTCTCCGGTGCCCTAAAACTCCGATTCATCGCAGAGAACAAATTAAACAAAATTACGCAACCCAAATTGCGAACCTAATTTAGAATCCACGACCGACAACACCTGAACGGCGAAAACCCTAATTTCTGGGGTAAATAAGCACAAAAAAGCTCAATCTTCAGGACCGAAGCGACGACCTCACATCCACAGATCGAGAATCGAGCTGCGCCAGCTGGAGTAATTTACGAGAGAAGGGAGCTGAAAATTACTGGGCATTTTGAATCTTCGAACAAAGAAGCAAAATCTCCGCATTTTTCCGCCATAACTAAATGCTAAAACCTAGAGAGAGAAAAATACGCAAATAATGTTTGCGTGAAATGTGCGTACGTGTCCCGAATGCGGAAAAGGCATAGGGGGGGTGAAAATGGCGCTTAAATGCGAGACTCACCACGGATCTCTCGACGTACAAAACCGCGGGGGGGAAAAACCCTCAAATGCACAAGTGGAGGAGGTACCCCATATGAAACGAAAATAGATCTTCAGAGCTCAGATCACCGGAATATCCTAAAAATATACTCCGACAGTGGAAAATAATTTCTCCACTATCTTCTTTTCCTTTTCTCCTCTCAAAATCCTGCAACCAAACGGTGGGTCAGTGAGAGATAGAGAGAGAGAGAGAGGAGAGAGATATTGAAAGGTTTGAAGAGAGAATGGCAAAGGTCGCAATTTCGAGGGAAAATGGGGGGTCAAATGGGGAAATAAAGTTTCAATGGAATTTTTTATATTATGAAAAAAAAGCTCTGTTTTGTACTTGAAATTTCAAAATGGGGATTTCAGTTTTCGCTTTTGTGCCCCTGAAGTTTTGGGTAATTGCAATTTTGCACAGCAGAAATTCCTCCATGATGACTGTTTGCGGTAGTTGATGTGGGTAACGTTTTCCGTTAAGCGTCATTTTTTCTTGGATTTTTTCACTTGTCACAAAGAAATCGTGTTTGCCCTTATTTCGAATGACAATTGAATTACTTAATAAATATATAATATATATAAATTATAATACCCAAATTGTGAAAAAAACCCATGTAAAAAACTAGTTAAGAGTTTATATATCATGAATTAATTAAATATTTAAATGTGATGTCAAAAGTCATTTGTAATAACTATTAACTATTAATAAGTCACTCCAATTAGTAGTTGGTAACAATACATAAAATATTACATCTTCACCTAACTTGTTTATAAATAATTATTTGCAGTTGCTGATGTAATTAAATTACGATTGTCGGCTTGTAAAGTAATATTTAAAAAAAAAAATTAAATAATTTCATCCGACTCTTGCTTGAAAAATAGAGAATGTTGGCGTGCTTTCAAAATTAATTTAAATTTATCATTTTTTTTCAATTATTAGTTTTAGAATTATTATTTCAAACTAATATTTAAATGCTATATTTTTCTATCTACTGCTCGCTCCATATAGTTTTTCAGATGATAAAGTGAAATGTATGACAATTTCAGCAAGAACTGTGTCGTGTTGACTGAAAAATATAATTAATATTTCCAAATAAAAAAGAATTGGAATAATACCTATTCAAATTTTGGTGATTTTTTTAATAAGATGCAGAATAGTATTTAGAGTGGATAAGGAGCAATTATCTATTTAATAAAATAAAAACTGACAGCATTAAACATGATAGATACTCTGTTTCGTCAGAGTTGGTGGTTTGATTGGAGTACCAAGTGAAAATTCTTAAACAATTCTTAAAAAAGATAATTCTTATTTAAATGGATTGCAAAAAAAAAATTAAAAAAAACATATATAAATAAATAATAAATGAGAGAGTGTATGGACTATGATGCCCCCGGAGAATCAAAGCCCATCAAATTCATTAATGTGGCCCAGTACAAATTGAATCACTTTCGACAGTTACTCATGGGCCAAGAGTTATCATGTATGTATGCTGTTGTTTGCAGGAAAATGATGATTTTCTTTTAATATTAAGAGCTAAATAAATAAAATGGTGAAATGTATTCATGGATATTAATAAAAACTAAAAGACTAAATAAAGATAATATTAAATGGAATCAATGAGCACAAGAATATATAAGTAATACAAAAGTTGAAACAGATTGACCAAAATTGCTCCATGGATTTGTACCGAAAATATCTCATCGCTGTTCGATGAAATCTCCTACAGTTCACGTGCTCGTCTCCGTACGTCCCGCGCCCAACTCGGGTCGCCACTTGAGGCTGTTGAACTTAGCCCGAGTGCTAGAATTCGCATGCAGCTGTGTGGTCGAAAAGCTTAAGTCCTCTTTCACCATTATTGATCTCTTCCGATCATGGTTCGCTGGAACGGAACAGTGCATTGTCGCAGACACTGCCGTTCCAGTTCCATTGCAACGTCGCGGCTGCATCGCGGCCGGAGCGGACACATTTTAATTAAATTTTTAAAAAAATATAATATATTTCAAATATGTTTTTAATAACAATATTACAATTCAATAATATGCAAAATATTATTACAATTTCAAAAATAAATATTACAAAGAATATTATGAAAATACAAGCAATATTAATAGCAAGTAGAATACCGAACTTAAGATATAAATGAAGAGTGATGCCAAAGATCTGTGATTCAGAAGAATCTCCATTCTCTAACGTGGCCACCACCATCATATTTATTTCTTTTTTTTTCTTTTATGTTTTTTTTCCTTATTTTTTTCAGTCAATTTTTTTTTTAAAATTTTTTTTTTCTGTTCCGACGTCGTTCTGGCCGTTCCGGCCGTGTCGGGGCCGTTCCGTGGCTCCGTCTCGGCCATCCCACCGATTTCTCGGCGTTCCGATGAGCCACGATGAATACACCGTTCTGGTTACGGATTGTCGGATTCCGGAATGGAGGGCACCGTTCCCGTTCCGGAACGGCCGTTCCGGCGAACCATGCTTCCGATTTAAGTGACTTCTCTTTGCTGCAAATACCGATGGTTTTGGTCAAACTCGACTACCTCAATGGCGCCTGAAACGATCGCCGGCAACGGAAGCAATTACAGTGCCGTGCCGGAGAGATTGAGATCCCACTTATAGCTACATAGCTAGTAGACTATTATTTTGGTAATCCTAACAAAAAAAATTCTTCAAAAAACCTTTGACTAGTTTATAAATTTGTGGATAAAAAAGGAGGAAAAGCAAAGAGAGTTGATGAATGGTTCTCTGTCACAAACCACAAACAAACAAGATATTTAATACAGTTATCAACGAAAAACAATCATTTTTTAAATAAAGTTAGCTAGGGTTTGCAAGTGTCATGACATACAGTACTATTGGTTGGGGCACCTTTTACGTTTTTGTTTTTTTTTTTTTTTTTTTTTTTAATAATAAGCATCTTTTGTGTATAGAATTAACTAAAACTAAATTTTGTGTATTTGCTTGTGTTATAGAATTAACTAAAACTAAATTTTGTGTATTTGCTTGTGTTATGTGAACGAGATAGATTAAATTTTATAGGGGACTAATTTTCTTTTGATGTGTCTGAAATTTTTTATAGGGGAGTAGTTTTATGTAATTTTCTTTTGTGTACAAACAAATCAAGAATTGATTGTTTTGTTTATATAAATTTGATGCTGGTAATAAGGGAATTAAATATCATTTTGCAGTGTTTCAGAATTGTAGAACACTTTGGAGATTCTTCTCTTTTGCAAATAACTCTATGTGAATATTTTAGATTTGTTATTACTTGTCTCTGTATCAAATTATGTGTGGGGAACACATAAGAAAGAAAGCAAAAGCTGCTAATTTTACTTGTCCAATTTAATATTCTTGTTATTGTTAATATTGTAGTCACAAACTGCTTCCTGCTAATTCTTTTCTAAATATTTTTCTACTTGAATGATTGAATTGTTGAAATATTTTTTGTGATTTTTTTTTTTTTTTACAGTCATATTGATATGTTGTTTTGTGAGAAGAAAAATAGCCCGAGTTCTTTAGAGAAAAGAGAAATAGCCGATAATTTTTTAGGTTGTTTACCAATTTTAATAATTCTTGTTTATTCAGTTGAACCAAACACAAGATTGGATTATTGCTAACTCTGTGGTATTATTTTCAGGGGTATTATTGATAAATTACATTTTGTACCAGATATAAACAAATTTAATCCGATACATTAATATAATAAACCAAACATTCTACTAACTAAATAATTAGTTAGTCAATAGAAATTGGAATAATTTAATCCAATCTAGGTTAATCCAATCTTTGCAAGCAAACAAGGCCTTAATAAAATAAAAACTGACAGCATTAAACATGATAGATACTCTGTTTCGCCAAGTGAAAATTCTTAAACAATTCTTAAAAGGATAATTCTTATTTAAATGTATTGCAAAAAAATAATATAAAATAAATATATATATAAATAAATAAATAAATAATAAATGAGAGACTATATGGACTATGATGGCCGAAGAATCAAAGCCCATCAAATTTATTAATGTGGCCCAGTATATATTGTCAAATATGCAAGAAAATGCAGTTTTCTTTTAATATTAATGAATACAAAATGGTGAAATGTATGAATATTAATAAAAACTAAAAGACTTAAATAAAGATAATATTAAATGGAATCAATGAGACTAAAGAAAGAAACTGTTCTGCATTCAGTAATCTGTTTATTAATTATAGTAAAAAAGATGTACAATTTGAAGATATTGTTTTTTACATTGAGTCAAGCATCATCAGTATCACTGCCTCCAACATGAGCTTCTTCATTGTTCATCCAATAATTGATTCCATCAGGCCCAGAAATCTTAACTCTGTCATTATTGAAAAACAGAATCATATCTCAATGCAAGACTTTATCATTATTATATATATATATATATTATATATACATAATTAGCAAATTTGAAGCAAAACAGACCGCTCGAGAACGGATTTCCCTTCCTTGTACTTTTGACTCTTTTCATGAGCAGTTTCCTGGAGATAATGATAATCACATAATAATATAATTAAATCTGAAAACGGGTTTATTCCACCATGTACGAGAGATCTTACGTATTTCCATCCGACCATTGAGCCACATTTGACGCAGAATATATCCGCCACTGTGTGTGATCCGGTCATCATCATCCTCTCTTCTTTATCCCCGAGAGTTACATTCACTCTGCCAAAGAATATGCATGAAAAATATAAGCAATGCTCTTAATAAATCCCGAATTTTCACTTTTTTTATTTAACCAGTACGTAGAAAAGTAGTTTTACGAAGGAATAAAATGATCTCAATTGTAGTATCGGCGAGAAAGATCAAGAAAAACTTACACCTTCTTGAAGAGATAAGCCTTCCCATGCCTGCATAGGAATGACTGAAGCAGAAAACCACAAACAAATACATCAGACAAAAACCGCTCGTCTCACCGAGAAGGCAAAATGTGATATAGCTAAACATTCATTTTAGCAAAATCAATCTTCACTGTGTCAAACTCATTGTTATTATCCAATTTTCACTTTCTTCTTCGATATGTGTTTCATCTTTTCCCTCACAAAAAAACAAAAAAGTAAGGGATTTAACGCATAGATGGAGGATAAAGAATATCCTCATAAACAGTAAGGGATGTCGTAAATCAGAGCAGATGATATATCAACACTAGATCAAAAAATTGTAATAAGTGAACCAAAATTGATCGGTCAACTCGTACATGGATAGCCTGCACAAACGAGTTTTTATTTTGCGTTTTCATGCTAAACCCTCCAAAAGATCTCCTGTCCTGTGTTGATTGCAGCATCAGTGCAGCAAAAAAGGGCACAACAGTAATTTGGAACTAAGCGATTTTAAAGCACCAGTATGGCAAGGATGGGTCATAACTTTTTTTCCTTAAACCTTTAACATAAGAAAGACGTAACAACTGACAAACTGTTTTCGAAACATAGATAACAATCTTATTTGGACCAATTAGACTGGTATGATCTAGTCCAATAATCAAAGTAGACAGCACTAGACAAATGTAAAGTTAAACTAAACCTCTTAACCTCACAAACTATCAATTATTCGAGACAGAGTACAAAATGGATTGAAAATTTTACTCGTGACAAATTCTTGTGATTAAGCAGGTAAAGTGAATAATCGTAATGTAGGTATATGGCAGCCCCGTTGCTCCTCGTTTTCTACGTATACAAGATTTGTAGAATGTAGTGTTATCTATTCCGAAGCAACTTCAATGGAATACCATTATTCGACAACAAAGATTGTTCAAACACTGGCACATCATTCAAAACTAAATATCAATTTAAAAAGCAGAAACTATAATTCAATATGAATCATACTCTCCTTGTAGCAGAATTTGTATCTTCACTTAATCTAAACTTAGAAAAAGGAAAGGGAAGCACCCTAATTACAGCAATTATTGGGAATTAGGTCATTTCCAAAAACAGATCATTGCCATAAAAACCATAAAAAAAAAAAAAAAAAAAACTCTCAGTGTGAAATTGAAGATAATACATCAACTCAAGTAGCAGAAATTTTGATTCTCTTCAAAAAAAAAAAGTAGCAGAAATTTTGATAAATCCGATGAATTTACAAGGGGGGTGATTAAAACCTTGGAAACGACGTCGTCGCTGAGAGCGAGATGAGTCTGGCAATGCTTGCAACTGTAGATCTTGCCTTCGAGAGCTAACACGAATACCCTTCCCATTTCTCAACCCTGCAAATCTCGAACCTCTTTTTTCCTCCACCCCCAAATTAAATTTAAAAAAAAAAAAAAAAAAAACAGAAAATAATTCAGGAAAGGGTTTCCACTCACCAACGAACTGATCGTGAAAACAGAAAACACAAAATCAAATTCACGTGCATGCGTTTCGCAAGACGGGAAATAAGCAGAGAAAGGGGGCGAAGAAGAAACTGTTGATATAAAACTCAAAAGGGGAAGCCATGATTTTGACGGCAACAAAAAATTATGAAGTATTTACCTTAATCCTGAATTTTAATCAAATCTGTATAATCAATAATTCACTCAACAAATCAAAATTAACACGCAGTGTAGCGCACACACTGACACACGTGTATGTGTATCGATGGATGTAAGCAGGAATATGTTGCTTCAACCGATAATCCAACCACACAGTCATGGTTCACCCACAAGTATATATATATATATATATATATATATATATATATATATATATATATATATATATATATATATATATTTTTCATTATTTTTTGCAATTAAAACAATTAATAAAATATTATTATCGACAAAATATTCATTTACACAGGACATATATTTCGTATATTTTTCCATTTTTTTCAATTTATTTATTTTGTACAATTTAAAATTGGCTAAATTAAGAAAACTCCCCTGAACTTAGGCTAAATAATGAAAAACACCCCTACCTATCGTATTAACCAAAATCCCCCTTTGATTAACTGTTGATCGAGTTTTTTAACAGAAAATGGTACGGTCTTATACCTTATGTTAAATATGTAATAAATAAAAGAAAATATCTGAAATTGTATCAAGTCTATTCCATGAAATAAAAATAAAAAAATCGTGAAAAATCACACTATAAGGGGTTGGTGTTAAGACGGAAACAAACCTCAGTAGATTTTTTGTAATTATGAATAGGTAGGGGTATTTTCGTCATTAGCCTAAGTTCATGGGGTCTTCTTAATTACCTTTTAATTCTTTTTAATGTATATAATTTAGTTTTGATGGAAAATTCAAAATTGAGAAGATTTTAAAACTGGACTCAGAATGAATATATAGTAACAAGTTGAGCCCAATATCTGTATAATTGGGCTAACGGCCCAGATCATCACCAAATCAACTGCCTCTGACAAATTAAGAGAATATACTTTATTTAATGTTTTTTTTTTTATAATTAAAAAATAATACACTAATGAGAGACTCCTAATTAATTCATGGATGCAAATGATTAACATCACTAATAATATGAAGTGCGACAACATGCATGAGTGATGACCCCAATTATTAATCCAAATGGGGAAGGCAAAAACACGCTTTTTGCTTTCCTTATAATCATGATGATTAAACGTGTTTGTCAATTGTGATGGATTGATTTTTATAAGAAATTATGATTAGTGTCCATCTAATCCCAACATTAGTCCTTTGTTGTGTCGATTCTTACCAACTTTTAAGCTTTCATTTGTTGGGGTACGTTACATATTAAACTTTTTTACTTCACTAATTATATTAACATGAAATTAATATTAACTAACAAGTATTGAAAAAGAAAAACAAAAGCTAGCTAATAATTCACATATTTTGCTTTCCAAGAAAATAATTATGAACAACATCTTTACCAATTTGATAATCCGATGGTCATAATTACAAATTGATGTGTATATCTATGGAGAATCATGGGCCAGTATAATTCTTTTTTAACCTGTTTCATCAAATACTTATGTCGATTCAACTGCACTTACCTCCGGTTGTTTGCTGAAGCTTCTACCACTTACTATCTTGACCGTCCAACTTAGACAATCAATCGTGGTCGTCTACACGCCTTTTCAAAGTTCAAATCTCTTACACTAGTTGATTCCACCCCCTTTTATGTGCTATTTAAACTAATTATTTTTTTGAATTTAACATTTTAATTTCAATAATCGGCCATAAAAATTATCAATAGAGGTTGATATGTAAATAATGGAAAACATTACTAATCTAAAAGTATTTTATAATTTGTTTTAATCTTAAAGAATTTAAAATAATTTTTCTATTATTAAATACTTTGGCATTCGATACGAAATGGAATACCGACATTCAGTAACTTTATATAAGTTAGCGGTGTTTATAACT